CTAATCTTTAATAATAATAAATTTAACATAAAATTTAAAATCTGGAAAAATGAATTCACATAATTAAACTGCAGTAATAAAAAATTCATCGAAATTAAAAGAACAATCGATCATTTATCTAGAAGACTGATGGTGAATCGACTTTTGAATCTGTTTCAGATTAAATTCATGTTAAAAAATTTTTTCTAGTCACTGAAAACCGCCAATTAATTAGTATTTAGTATATTTGATATAATGAAACTTAGAATGATGTCACATAACTATTAATAATCAAAATAATGAGCACTAAACCAGAGCAGTATGAACGTTTCCCCAATCTATTAATATTAAAAATGAATTTCAAGCAAAACTAGTTTACTATAATTTAACAGCAGAAAGTTTCAAAGATATTGTTAGGAAATTGTAAAGATACATCACATTTCAATCATGTGTCTTACGAATGACAAAAATTGAGACGAAATTCAATAAACATTTAGAAGTCGATATCAGATAGCACTGCTTGGATTAAGCATGGAATGAGATTCATGGAAACTTCAATGATACATCATCTTCATCAATTATCTCCATGCCACCGTCTTCCATTATCCCCCATTATTTCCATGTAGTAGAAAACAAAATCCGCAGTACAATGCACGGAGATGCTATAAGCCAAGTTCAACATCCAACTCTTTTGTGTTATTTTTTTTTAGCCTTTCAATTCAAGAATTTATTCTTACTAGTAAAAAAATTAGACTACATACAATATGCATAAAAGCATCGAAATCTTTTCAAATCAACCATCAAATCTCACTTTAATTGCCTTCAGTAACTAGAACTTTTTTAAGAGAACTAATCACAAAACAAAGCTGTACACAGCACAGTTCGGTTCCGAAATCAAAAATCGATCTGCAGAGAAAAATTAATAATTATCACCATCAATCACATCATGACACAATGAAAGAGCCCCACAAATCACCTTGATAATAACTCTTCAGCATTTATACCCACCATCCAACATATCTCGAGAAACTTTCTGCAATAGGGAAAAAATCACATTTTGATGTCAATCGAAAAGTGCAGCATGAGCGCAGCTTTGTTTATTAAAGTTGAAGGTGGAAAGACAGAATTACAACTGTGTAAAAATAGTAAGTACTTATTGAAATTTGAGACCGGAAGTATTTTTATAACCCACATCATAGTTGAGGATTTCGACCCATGGCAACAATGTTTGAGTTACAGACTGCAAACTCGAAACATCCACTTGTCTGCGAAAAGATGCAAAACAGGAGTCTAGAAAAGTTTGTACCTGAAATTCGGAAAGTAAATTTTAAATTAATTAACAATAAAAAAAACCAAATCAGTATAAGGACTTCCAAATTGAACTATTTGCCTGTTTACAGTACAAACAAAAGAAAAATCAAAAATGCCACGTACTTCTAAGCCTTCACGCATTGATCTCAAATGCTTGAAATTGGTATTTATTCTAAATTTTGATTTCATTTTATGCATGAGAACACCTTAAATGTTAAATAATCGAGTACTTAAAAAAAGTAGAACAACGCACAAGCTGACACTGAACTGAGGATGCATTTGCAGTCGAGCTGCTCTCAGCCATCGTTTCGTACTGCTCTGCGATAAGCTCAAGTGCTGATATCTATAAATTCAAGAGTTCCTGCAATAACCTGAAGATCAAATACGCCTCTACTAATAGAACCAAAATGATCAATAACCTGGGCAGATAACTGTGAAATTAATTCGTTAACATTTTCTTCTTTCATCTTTAGCTGATTTAAATAATCTGCCGCTCTAAACAAAATTGCTGCATTCGTTGTTTTACATCCCACTGTAGCAAAGGATGATGGCAGAAGCTCTTTCAGTTCCTGATATCCATTCTGGAAAACGTGATATTCAAATGCATGAACGAGAAAGATAAATCCAACCTATACAAAGCAAAATTTTCCAGTGCTAAAATTCCATGATTACAATAAGTTCGCAACATATAGTTCGAGCAAAGTTTGAGGAAACGCTGAATCTAAAGTCTGCAGTCATAAAGGTATGGAAGTTATCCTTTTCGACACTCACAATTTCAGTAAAGATTAATTGGTTAAACAAATTCCTTAATGATTGGCTGATCAGATAAACTCCCTGAATATAGATTTGATTGATTAAAACGGCAAATCTTACTAAAAAAAGCGAAAATTTAAGAAAATTTCTAAACTATGGGTGGACATCAGTATTTGGTGCTTTGCAAAGAACCAGTCATATATTTCAATTACTAATATTTTCAGCAATATAATCTTAACATGAAGATATTTCGACAGAAAAAATTCAAAATTAGTACATATTCAGAAGTAAAGCTAAAACTGCCTGATAATGAAAGTATAAGGTATTGATTGTAAAAATACTACCCATGTTTAACTATTTTTTTCAATTAATTGTTGATCAAATTCAAATAATTACAAAATTTTAACCAACATTAATAGCTTCTCGACGTTGACGTTCACATCGAAGATGAGTTGCTTTTTTGCGTTCAGTTGAGTCAGGACTGCTTTTCGAATCATGAGAAAAACCCCCAGGTATTTCCGGAGACGAATTCGATGGCATACACAATTTGTCTCTTCATAAATATTTTCGTTTAAGTAAATATGAAACAGTGGTACAAACAGATAAAAGTGACAACGCAAAATAACCACAAACTTCGGTGAGATACACAAAATTACGTCGTACATAATAATACTCAGTGATTTATGCTGAATCTCCAATTGAAACGTGTTATACATGTACATATGCACGAAGAACTGCAGCAACACGAGTCACAGTAAAAAACGAATCATACCAGAAACCGTCCCCACAAATACTGTCTTCTGTGATTTTCATTTTGCACATGCCTAATTTGCTGCCGTAACTTGTAAGCCACACTCATGCACCATAATGCAGTTCATATATTAATAGCGCACTTAATCTACAACATCCACTAACTACATCTTTCGCCACTTTAATGTTTCAGAAAATGAAAACAAAAGTAACACACAACAGTCGCTAAGGCACCACCAATTACTTATTCTTGGATAAGAATTAGTAAGATTAAGAGAAGCAAAAACTTCAAGCACGTACATTCCGAGTAAAAAGTTTATCAGGATGATTAACTTTGCTTTATAAAGTAATCACTTTATTTATGGTCACGAATACACACAAGTGAAATGACTGAAATTAAATAATGTCACAGGTTTTATTGAGGCCATATTTAAAAATTAAGCTATTAGACTATATACATAAACATTATTAGTCGCTAAATTCTTTGCTACGCAAACAAGAAACCTGCAAGCTATGAAAATGGAAGCAAATATTAGCATTGAAAAAAATTGAAACACCAGGAAGTTGGAAGTGGACTTGCATTCCTTTGTTTGTCCAACAACCAACACAAGGAGCTGGCATATCCGCCCAATGACTCCTTAATCAACAATTGAATTCCAGTCCCAAAATAATATCTATAAGATTTCTGTGGGACATAATCTATTGTTCTTAATTTGCAAATTGCATAACATTGCTTCCAAACTCAAAGCTATACACTTTACGTAGCAAAAAAATTAGCCTCCAAATTTAGTAAGCTAATAAATTTAATTATCACTGTTTTTGGATCATTTGAATTCTAATGCCTCAATACTATTCTTAAACAGCTTACAGAAGCATAACATAATAATGGTAGAAAAAATGAAGATAAAAAGACATTTGTACCTGAGAAAGTTACTAAAACATTTTTAAATCAATATGCTTAAAACCACACAAATCATCAATAAGAACACGAGAATAATATCAATAATTCAATTGAAAAAAAAATAATCCAAAAATTCTCAACATGAAAAATTAAAAGTAAATCAATATTCATAACACAAAGAAGAAACTGAAGAACGTAAATGTTTTGCATTTATATGCAGTAAATTGATTGAAACAGAGATACAACAAAATAAGCGAGCAAGTTATTACTTGTTTAATGGCACTTATTACACTGCCTATTTGGTTTATCCACATTAAATTTGCTGCAATAATCTAGAAGAAATAATAATAATAGCAGTAGATATATAACAAAATTTTTTGTATTAATGCAAAAGTGACTGTGTTAATGCATATCATATGAATTACAAGTAAGTAGCCTGCAATTGTTCAATCATTTGAAGCAATCTTGAGGAACTGAAATATGAACGAAAAAACTGAATCATAAATGACTCAATTTTTAAAAGTTTAGTTGCGGAACATTGCAAACGAAAAAACTGAAGTTTTGACAAACCAAATAAAAACAAATATCTCATTATAACCGTACGCAAAAAATTTGAAAATGTCTCAAACCAGTAGTATACTAAGCCACCTAAAAGTTTTTCATTTGAGAGCTTTTAAATCTCTCAATTAAAAGCTTCAGCCGGAATCTGATCGCGTACAGCTAAGAAGGCTTGACCTGCAGCCTGAAAAATCAATAGAAGTTAGTGATCAAGTAAAAAAATGTCATTAAAAAGAAGTATATGGCCACAAAGCAATTACAGACATATTACAAAACAGATAACGGTCAAAATATTTCTCTTATACCTGCATTTAGTTAATTTTTATTTGTTCACTTTATTTCCTGAAACCTCATAAATTCCAGGGCTACAAATAAAGTCGAAATTTTCTAACAGCTTTACTTCGAAATTTTATATCGACTTTTTAATATTAACTGCTGCCAATAATGCGAGTGAAACATTTCATTTTTGAATAGCTTAAGTTCCACTGTGAGTTACAAAAGATTGGATAAATGAAGATAATTATGAAAAAAAAGACAAGAAACAAACTTCATAATTCCAATTTTGGTCAATGAGACATTTTCTTGACCATTCTGGTTTCATTTTACTATCGTGACAAAATGATTCAATCATCTGTTGCTGCATTCCTTCATCGCCTGCCGCTGCACGTTCTGCTGGAGTGGGTTCATGCTTTTGAAGATTAGAAATTTGATCGACATAGCCTATTGACATTGCACCCATTTCTTCCGTTGTGACATTATCTGGTGGAACCTATAACATGCCATGAGAAAACTGGCAATGTGAAAGTAAAACCGTAATCTTTAACAATAATTTTCTGGAATATTCGATTACTATTACAAAATAAAAATGCTACATAATAAAACTGCGAACCTTCAAGGAGTTTGTAATCATTGATTTGTAACGTTGTACTCGTTCTGCAAATACTCCACTAATGAATAACATATCATTGACCACTGCGACTTTACTAAAAAATGCAAAATCATTTCCACAACTGCTTTGGAAGCAACAATAAAAATTAATCAATAAAATGAAGTGAAAATTAAGTCATTTTTTGATCTGAATATATAACAGCTACTGCACTGAAAGCAATACACAAATAACCAAGCATAACCGAAATTTTTTACCTGTCGCCTTTGCTCACAACAACAAAATTACGGCAGAAGAATCTGACTTCACTATCGTCTCCAACTTTTTCCAGCGAATCACGAAAGAAACCTTGCACAGCAAAACACATATGCTTATCCTAAACAAATTAAGCTAATGCAGAAAGAAAACAAATTATTGTGAAGATTTTCGAAACTGAAATCAAACTCACGGTCATTAATGACACATCAACTAAAAATGTGTCGATCAAATGTTTGGTCGCTGGTAGTTTCCTTAATGCAACTATAATATCCATAGCACCTTTGTATACAACTTTTTCTCGGAAACGCTCCCATCTTTCCATGCACTTGATATTGTGTGATGTTTTACGATATACACTGTATATGCTAAAATCATACCACTCGTAAAGTGAAAGACTTCTGTTTTTGCGGCTATTAAAATGATGGAAAACTAAATAACTATATCAAGAAAAGTCATTTGAAGAAGAACAAATATTATTTTTGACAGCTTTTTGCTGGGCACTAGGACTCATGCAGAAAAAGCATTTAGCAAAAACAATCATCACATGAAAAAGTGCCAACCTAGAATCAAAGAATGGTTTCCTTTCGCTAGCATCCACTAAGTTTTCCGCTACTAACGTAAACGTTGCCTGAAAGTTGAAGCTAAAAAAATGGCCAAATAATCATGTTAACGACTAAAACTTTTCGTCTTAAATTTTACAACTCTTTCAAATAACATGAAAGATCTGTATTAATCAATGGAAAAAATTTCGAAATAATATGAAAGCGACAAGATCTGCAAAGATCAGAGAATGCTGACGTTTTCATCATATGCATTTATCAAATTTTTTCTGTTGTTAATGTCTGGATCATCATACGTTGTCATATATTCAATTATGAATGCTTCAATAAGAACCCGACGACTATCGCTACCATAAAAACCTGGCTGAAAAAAAAAGATTTTAATAAGTGAACTATATTAAGATGAGAATGTGTAATTTCGATATTTTCATAGTACGAAGATGCTTAGATCATGACCACTCAACAAAACTACATTGAGACTGTATTATAAATTTCTGAAACAAAATATTACCTTGAAAAGTGGTAGTTTCGAGTCATCTAAATCTGGAATAGCACAAGATGAAGAACGCTGGACTGGTATACCATCCTAAAACTAGACACAGAGTAACTGGATTTTTAGCACTATCTATACTATATATTTCCAGATTATGCGATACTTTTTTTTATCTCAACAAAGAACGTAGCACGAAAACATCTAGTATGAAAAAATGTTAATTGTTCTAGATCCGTAAAAGACTTTACTTATTATGAGAACGACTAACCAGCATCGAAACTTTTGGGAAAACTCGATGAATAACACTGCAAGCGAGAATACACTGTTAGCATAATAGTCTCTACATGAATGTATACATATCCGTTAACCATATATGAAAAGAAATATGACAGCAAAGAGCAATCTACTTTTAGAATCAATTCATTAAAAATACAATTTCGATCATTTGAAAGAAACGATGTCATGATGTTTTGTGACTAAAAAAAATCAAGCAACCAAGCAAATTATGGTAAACCTTAAATAAGTTTCTGCTGATGAATATGTAGCACACAAGGGATTGTTTTCAAAATACAATGTTTCCACAGGCCATCCTTTTAGCTTTTCTAGTTCTGATTCCTTATCAATCTGAAACGAAAAAAAAATGCTTTCAACTAATTTTAGCTTGCATTTGAAAGTAAAGAATTACTATCCTGAAATTAGGCACTGATGAAAAGCAACAATCACAACACCATCCTCTCTTCAGCAGAAAAATTTGAAGTTACTTATACCTGATTTGCTGATAAATCTAGAACCTTGACATTTCTAATGCGATACAGCAGACATGCAAAGAAATCTAAGAATCGCAAACGATTTCCCTGAAAAACGAAACATTGGTAAACCATTGTTTAGTGATATAAATTGAAGCAAGAATATTTAAAACATCGTATCTTTCGTTAAACATGGTGAGTGAAATTTGATAAAACAAATTTAAATTGAATGCTACAAACTCTAGCTAGTTAGTATAAACAGCAAACTGAAAAGAGTAAACCAAACACCGTTTGATCACCATAAAATAAATCGTGAAAAAATATACTTTCATACTCAAAGCTGTGACATCACCATAATTTTGATCAATTAAATCAACAACCGCCATCATTATATTGTTGCGAGTTAAAGAAAGATGTAAACTCTTTGCACGAAATACTGAAATACTTGAATTGTGAAAAGCAAAAAAAATAATTCTTACAGGTTTTGAAATTTTAACAAATCTTCTAAACAATGCAACTAAAATTCAGTATCAATATCACCTGTTTTGGACTTCGATGAAAAAGAGAATAATTTAGCAAACTTGTAGACAATAGAAAATATGCTCAAATCGCCTTCAATATACTCTACTAAATAAGACTGCCAAAGCGATAGGTATTATTAAAAATGACCATATTAAAGATTTTAATGAAGTAACCAAAATCTTACATTCATCTAAACCAAATTCACTTAGATCGAGTAAATGTGTCTCAGCATTGTACCGCTTTTTTAAGCATTCCTAAAACAACAAAACTTTTTTACCAAGTGGAGATTGAAATTATCATTTATTTTTGAGAGTCAAATGAAAGAGCTCTATAATAGTATGAAAAAAAGTTGAATAGAACTTTATTTTTCGATACGATGATTACCAAACTTAAACTTAATAAGGCACAAACCGCAATTAAATCTCTTTCAGTTACGGATATAGTGGCAAAACCAGCTGAAACACGTGATAATAAAAAAGTTATTGGTATATTCGTTTTCGGATCTCTAACACGTCTTGATATCGCTTGAATAGCAGAAGCTGTCTATAAAACGTTGACTGTAAAAATGCACTTGAAAACACAATGAATTGAATTTGTCTTCATCAGTAATCAATGAAGAAATTTAGCTCATTATACCCTAAGAGTTAATGTGAAACCATATCAATCAACAATAAATCGTGATCGTCACCTAGTAATGCTAAAGTATCTAAGAACTTTATGAATTTCTGGCTTACATTTATTAATTCTATAATATTATAGATGTTAACTTCTTTGTTCAAGAAAAACAATAAACGTAGCAATGGAGAATTAATTAAACGACATGATTTCGCTTAACTCAACCTTATTTATATTTAGCGTATATGTATGTTTATTGTTAAAGCTCGAGTGTCCTCAAATATATAGAACAGACTATTAACTCACGTCATCATCCTCGATAAAAAATGTTATATCACCACGATCTACTCTGATCAACAAAGGTTTCACATCATCAACATACTGTCCGATTGATCGCATAATAAAGTCTTTGCCTACTGCAGCACCTCTAACAACCTGGAACAATCATATGCAAATAGAGTACAACAAAGTCTTAAATACAATAATCAATACGAAATTTATGCATTTACTTTAATCTGATTCATAACAACAGCTGTTGTAGTTGCACTACCACCAGCTCCACGTTGTAACTGTCTATCACGTCTATTATCAAGATGGACTTTCATTGACATGCGATCTCTTCCAACACCTGCATAATTTGGAACTGTACTCAATTTCTAAAGTAAAGTCAAATAAATGAAAAATTATCACACATTTCCGACCAGACATATAATGTGAAATCTTACTTCTAGTTAAACCTCTTCCATTTCGTGTGCATGTACCAGTACTTCGACCTTGCAGCTTTACAATACGAGGATCGAAATCCTATATGAAATAAAACTAGTTTAAGAAGAAAATGTACTTTACAGCAAAATTTACGCATATTACAGTAGCAAGGATCCTTTTTGCTAAATAAGTATAACCAATGACGATAGAAATTTGATGATCTCCGGGCAGGATGTTAATCCACGATAGCCGAACTTAAGACTATTTATATGAATATTTCGTTGAGCTTGCAGATTTGTAGAAGCCAAAAAGAAACCTTCACTAACAAAGGCAACTTAATTTCCTTAGCAAAATTGAACAAGATATAAATAAAAAATTAACCTTTCCGTTATCGTCATCATCATCATCAAATCTTGGTGCCAAATCACTATCATAATAGATAAGTTTTTTCATAGTCATCTTCTTGGCATCCCATTTTTGATGGCCACCACGACGACTCATTGCAAAAACTAGAAAGCAAACTAACATAATTTTATGATAACAAGTGCACCGAGCAATATCAAATTCAAACAAGAAAAGCAAACAGCATTCAACTATTTTCAAGACTCTGCATAATTCCAATCCTACAAAGTCTACCTTAGCCCACCATCAAAGAAGTGCGAACTTAGAGTCAAATGCGCACTTATATTTCTTCAAGCACTTACTTTAATATCTAATTTGCAGGAAATCATTAATATTTTTGCAATAACTTCACAACAGCATGAAATTAACAAAAAAAACTTCATTTTAATACTATGTCCTTTTCTATGAGCGATAGTTTCAGCACTATTCTGAATTACAATCAAAAGAATCCTAAGAATATAACTGAAAGAAAAAAGGAAGCACTCTTCGGTGATTAACACACTGACCTATTGGTTGATATTCCTTCAATTAAAGGCTATTATACTTATTGATTGACATTCCTTTAATTAAAGGCTACTATACTTATTGATTGACATTATTTTAATTAAAGGCATTTATAGTAGCAAATTTGGTAGTATTATATTAATAAAAATTGTTTGTCTTTGCACTTGACCATAATGTCTGATTAGACAATCAGTCAATCCATCTATGAGAACATATCTGTTCTGTCGTGCAGTTAAAGTGATAATATAGCAAGACAAACCTAATTTCAAATACCTTTCAATTACTAAAAAATGAGTAGTTACAGTCATGCAACTTGCCAATGCAGTTTCCAACTGCAACTAGCCACAATTGAGAGTAATTAGGAGCTTACATCCATTGCTTACTTTCAAACTGAACTCCAATCATTACTTGCGAGTCAAAAACAACACAGAGCAATCATGTCACAATACCACTCACAAAATATAGGATACAATGAATGAGACAAGCAGGTGTATATTATTTGGCCTGTGAAAGGGAGTTATTTTCGACAACGCAATTCAAGCATCCCACACCACTTCACATATCCACAGATGATTCAATATTGATAACTATGTATTCGATCCATCAGAAATTCTAGTGGTTATGTTATCAATGAAGGTAAGCTCTTCTGAATCTCTCGAAACGGAATTACTTTCTAATACTGTACTCTATTTTTAGTCTTTTGAAATAAATGAGTTCAGCAATTGCAGTGTATTTACTTAATCACTGGCGAAACTCAGTTATCTTTATTTCATTAC